TCTGTTGTGGGGTGTAGTAATTGTGGGGGTGGTGGAGATGTGGGGGCAGGTTTTGCATTTCTTGTCATGGCACGGTCTGGATCCTTTTGGTGTGTTCTGGGGTTGAGGAAGTTTGCTTGTGGTGATGAGGTTGGCGAGGTTCGGTGCTTGTCTGAAGGCTAGGATGGGTGGCTCTGGGAAGATCTTTTTAAGAATAGGGTCTTTTTCTAATATGGGTTGCAATTTTTTGAGGATTTTCCGTACAGGTTCAAGGGAGGGGTGATAGGTCATAACCAGCGGTGTGCGATAGCTAGCACCAGAACTGAAAGAGACCTGAACGACCACAGAATGAACGTGAGCTAACATTGCGATGCTATAGCCAGCAGTGCGTCTCAAGCAAGACCAAAGATATCATCCTCCCGCTCTACGCAGCATTGGTGAGCCTGCAGGTGGAGTACTGTGTCCAGTTCTGGATGTCACACTTCAAAAAGGATGTAAAGAAGCTGGAAAGAGTCCAAAGGAGGGCCACACAAACGATCAGAGGTCCAGAGAACAAGCCATACAAGGAGAGGCAGCAGGGGGAGGAAGACTGATCCCTGCCCACAGGAGCTGCTTGCTGCCAGGCAGGCTTTGCCACCAAAGCTGAGGTGGGGAAAATGTCCCTCAACCCCTGCTTCACCATTGTAAAGCTGGGGCTGGAAAATCCTTATCTCACAGCTTGAACCCTGTGGTCACGGGACCTGGGCTGGGAGATCCTTATCTCCCCGTGCCAACTCCAGAGTCATGGGGCCAGCACTGGGCGATCCTTTTCTTCCAGCACCAGCTCCACGACCACACTGTTAGGGCAACTGCAGAGCTGGCGCTGGGAGAAAAGGATCTCCCAGCACCAGCCCTGCAGCCACAGAACTGGCACTGGTAGATAAAGATCTCCCAGCACCGGCCCCATGACCATGGAGCTGGTGCTGAGAGATAAGTATATCATTAATTCCGTTATCAGACACGGCTGCCTACTGTTCTTTGCAATGCAAATGATTATGGTATGTTGAATACATGCAGTTTTGAGACTCCTTTGCAACAAATTATTCTCACTATGAACTAGAAGTGTAAATTTGGAAAGGAACATACAAAGACATGTAAGACGCATAATTAGTGAGTAGAGACTGAAACAAACTAATGACATCTTTCACCTTCCCCAAACTCCATGATATGGAATTCCTGGTATGACCAAACACTTTGGAATGTTCTTACCAAAAGTTAGGGCAGCTAACTTAAGGAATGTCCTTAATGGTCACACCATATGGAACTGGAGGAGTACACAAAAAATGAGTTAACAAGAACTACCAGCATCTCCACCTGTATGGGTACAATACCAAGGATATCTCTACATGACTTCACTGCAGATCCCTGCATGCCCCTCCCCTCCCTTCCTTCCTACTCTACATATATGCCAAACCTAGAAACAAGCTGGGGTTTTTTATAATTTGCTATATATATAGATCTTGAAGTACTTCTCTCAAAACTGTCCTGCAGCTGCTATGACATACCTGACAGCGCAAAACACATCATACACAATCCTGTCACATTATTCACACTGTGCACCCACGTGACCATCACCATCACCCCTGCCCATCACAAAGACAGGCAACCTTTCTCTACCCTCTAAAGCTTACCCCTTCCCCCTCCTCTCTACTTCTTTCCCAGTTCTTTCAGTTGTCGTTGTCATTGTTGCTTTCTTCTCTCGTCATCTCTGCTGCCTTCATTGTCATCGCTGTCCTCGTTGTCATCATCACACTCTTCAGGTGCCCCACCCTTGAAC